ACCTGGAAGTTGACGTCCATGTGAGCCAGTAGCATGTGCAAGATGGGCTGCAGTGTGGCTTCGGTGTCGTCCGTCGCTGCGTCGATTACGCGGTGCAATGTGTCCTTGACAAACGCATGTTGCGCATCGAAGCCTTGGTCAAGCATGTACTTCAGCACGTCCATGCGCCGTCGAGTCGCGGCAACTTGAAACATCTTTACAAAATAGTAGCACAGTACATGGTCGGACAAGCGCTGGACGTCTGCCACGATCTCCATCATGGACCGCACCTCGCCTGCGGCGGCCAACTCGACAAAGAGCCTGCTGTTTGACATGACGTTTTCTGCAGCATCAGGGTTGGTGCGGCGCATCTCCTCCATCCAGTCCATTTCCTCTTGCACAGTCCGGGTGAACGCAAACACGCCGGCTGCTGGCGTCGCCGCTGTCGATGGCATCGTCGTTCTGTGGTGTTGTGCCGTTTGGCAGCAATGGCCGGATCTTCGACACTGCATTGGACCATCTTAATTGGCTATTTCATTGTTTCGACGAGGTTTGATTGGTGGATTTCGTTTTATCGCCATTTGATTGGCTCATACTAAACATGTTGTATCCTGTATAATGGCAGTAAATCGTTACTTCGTTGTACTTAGTAGTTACTACTTCAAGGATAAATAAGTAATTGTTTAAGCATGTACTACTACGTAGCAGCATTTATTATAAATGATCGTCCGATCTCTTTTAGTTAAAGAATTGTTTTGAAAAAGGGTTTCAAATGCTTATTTATTATCGTAACAATCTCAAGATCCAAATCGTGTCTTTTCCAACAGCACCATGGGCAACGCCGAGAGTTGCGGCGCGCTCCAAGCAGAGCTCGAGAAGCTGGAGAGCACGTTGGCGATCCTAGCAGTGACCAACCCTGTGGGATGTCGTCCCTTGCTTCCGCATCACGTTCAGCATCGTGGTGCTGTCTTGCGTTGCAAACCAGGTTGATTGAGCCCATGTCCATCCGTCGACAGGTTGAACTTGATGCGCTTGGTACAGGTGTGTCCGTCATGCTCGGCCCCGTTGTTGGCGTCGTCGGCCCCGACTGCGCTCGCATTCTTCTTGAAGTCGACACGTCCACCACTGTCATGTGCCACCTGTCTCGGCAAGAGAGCGTCACGGGTCAGTGGCTGGAAGTGGACGCCGCTCGAGTCACGATGGAATGCACCAAGGGCCGACCAAGCGTATTTTGCGTCATGAACCTTCTCCCTGGAACGCAATACGCGTACGCATTCAGTGGCATTTCTGAGACGGATGCGACGTCTCGTTGCGGATGCTTTCACACGCTTCACGTGTCCGACGCTCCCATTCAAGTCGGCGTCGTGAGCAGCAACGACTTGCTAGCTAGCAACTCGACGGATGTGTGGGGTCGATTGTCGGAGACGATCGATCGCGCAGCGCTCGGCGATGTGCTCCCTCCCCCAGTCCATTATTTGTTGCACTTGGGAGGTCAAGTCGTGTTGGAGGGCGTGTTTGAGCAGTGCTGGGTCATGCTGACCCGATTCGCATCGTCATCCGCGGCGACTGCGTCGTCCACATGGGCGACGATGGAAGCCCAAGTCGTCGAGCGCATGCGAGCGGCGTACCGATTCCAGTGGAGTCTGCCCGCGATTCGCCACGTCTTGGCGAACACGTCGAACGTAATGCTGTGGAGCGACCAAGACATTTACTGCGACTTTACGACGAGCGCCACGTTCAACATGGACCACGACGCGCCATCGATGCAGGTACAAACCATAGCCTAGTTTGCCATGCAAAGCTCTGGCGAGCGAGTTGACGGCAGTGCGTCGCCTAGATGCAAGTGATGCGGGTGCTGCTGCGATCGGCGCGGCGCGTGTACCATGAGTACCAGCGCCAACTCTGGGACACCAACTACGCTGTCTTCGTGGCTGACACGGTATACACCATGTGCCCATGGAGCTTCCATGCGTTCGATGAGGTGCATCCACGCCGGTAGGATGCGTTGGTTGCGGCGTCCGAGGCGTCCATCGCGACGACGGCGACTGTTTTCCAATATGCCCAAGAAATGGCCGACCTCGAGAAGCAAGTCGCAATGGCCAAGCGAAAGATGGAATTCGACATGGTCAAGCGGTGCGAGGCCCGGTTGGCTGAGCTCCAGGCGCGGCGTGCCGAGGTGCGTATCGCTGCCCCACGCATGGACGCGGCGTTGTCTCACATTCGACGTAGCTCCAAGTGCAGTTTATGACGCTGCGAGAACAAACGGCCCCTCGGCGCGGCGAAGAGTGCTTCGTCCAGGTCGGGAGCGAAATGGGATTTCTGATGCTAGACATGCGCGGAACCAAGCTGTCGCCTGCCGGGGCTCAAGTACGTCGTCGACGCCGTGTTCATCCAGCGGGCGATCCCGAACGGGTCGCTGACGTGCTCGTCGTAGGCCCCGGACAATCCCGTGTTGAGTCCAGAGCAATGGGATTTCGTCGTCGGTGTGCTGGCCGATGCCACGTTGCGTCTGCTAGTCGTGTGTTCGGAGCTGCCTCTCGCGGACGACACCACCGCCAGCATTCAAGCGTTCATGGCCGCCAAGGCCAAGCCATCCGACTCGTCCATGGGCCACCGCCAACGCACACCGTGTCAAAGTTGGTGGGGCACAGCACCACGCGACCAGGAACGCCTCTTGACCCTTCTCTCCGAGTGGAAGCTCCAGGTGCCGTCGGCTCGTTGTGTTGGAGCCGTGCCACGGCGTCCGGTGTGCTCAAGCCATGCGTAGAAACCGAACCGCGACGTCGTGTTGCTTTCTGGCGCGTCGTCCATGCGGTGCGCGCTGGCGTCGACGGTCACCGACGTAAAAATGCGAACGAAACTTTGCCAGCACGTCGTCGGGCCGGTCGCTGGCCCGTGTCGTCCGCTGTGCATCCCATCCAAGGCGGGAGTTCTCGGCGACGGCGGTCGGTTCGAGTTTTGCCACGACGTGGTCTTGCCGCACGAAAACAACGTTGCCATGCTGACTCTGGCCGCGGCGGACGGACGGGACCCCGTCGTCACGTGCCGTCGCGTTGGGCAGGTAGTTGTATCATTCTCGTCGATGCGGTTGTTGACTTTGGCGATAGCTGCCATCGACGGTGCACGTCGTCGTGGGGCCAGTCGTCGGCGTCGTGGATGCGCAGTCATGCGCGATCCTGCTTGAAGTCGACGCCGCCGCGACGATCGGTTGCGTGGTGATCAATGCCGTCGACCCGACCGACGAGCACCGGCTGCTCCAAACGTTTCCTGCCAGTCGACCCAAAGCATTTTACTTGACGCACTTGAATCCTGGCCAGCAGTACACGGCCCACTTCCTCGGACTCGCACCGTCCGACTCCTCGCGACCCGTGACGTGTTCATTCCACACCCCCGAGAAAACGCCGCTCCGCTGGAACATGGTGCTAGTCTGCAACGACGTGCACGTCCCGTTTACGTCGCCCGTGCCCCACGCGGCGACGTCGTTATGGTCGGCCATCGAAGCCACGACAAGTCAGCCGTTCTCTGCCGTAAACCTCGTCGTGCATTTGGGAGGCCAGGTACGATCGCTTGAACGACGACACGATCGACCATTCAAGACGGGATGGATCGGTGCGGAACAACACGTAGGTGAGTGTGCAAGGCAATGCGTGCGTCGACGAAGCGCTGGCGCTGCTGCGAGCGCGCGCAACGAGCCGAGCGCCCGACAACGACAATCGCGTCACGATTGACCTGGTCAAGGAGCAACTACGCAACATCTATCGGATCCACTGGAACGTTGCAGACACAAGGTTCGATTCGACGCATGTTCAGGCGCTCAACGCATATGTAGGCAAGCGTTGTCATGTGGGTCGCATGCCATGGTGTGGAGCGAGCGCGATGTCCTGGACCAAGCATCGTTTAATCCGCACGATGACCATGCAAGGCAGCTGACTCGCCTCTTGCGAGAAGTCGCAGCGGAGTACCAGGATCAGCTATGGCTGCCCCATTCGGTGCACTCGCAGGCGTGGGGTGGTTTCGGCCTCTATGTGTGGCGAAAGCAGGTAGGCGCACGACTGCGTCGCCTTTCATCGCGTCGTAGAGAATGGACGACGCCATCACGGACGATGGCGGCGCGCGGTGGTCCAAGCTAGCGCAGCTGTTGAGTCAGCCCATTTCGACGCTCATCCTTGCGTGCGACCAACCGCTCGTGGACGACTCGATCGAAGACACCACGGCAAAGGTACGCATCCATCCATGCAGTCAGCACGTCCATGGACAGCGATCGTCGATGCTGCAGGCCAACTACAACTCTGCGTACGCCCACCGCCTGCCGTACCAAGGCGCTGACTTGGTGCGGCTGCTGCACGTCGTGCTCGAGTGGAAGGGGCCGGCCAATAGCCTCAAGTACGAGCGACACCGTCCAAGAAAATGTCCACACCATTCGACTGTAACCTAGGCAAGTTGTGTGCATCTGCGGCAACGACTATTTTGGATTCGACACGGTCATTCAGCATGCAGTGTCCACCGCCACGATGCGGCAAATCGTTGTCGGGCCGCTTTGCTCTGAGTACTCGGTCGACATGCTGCGTGCGATTACGTACTTGCCCCAAGGATCGATCGGCCATCTCGCAACGTACCGCCACAATTTCGATCCGGCCTACTGGAACCATCACTTTGGGTACCTATCGTTGCTGGACCACACGAAGGCGAGGCCGGGGGCCGGGCAGCCTGCGGCGTACACAGTGGTCGTGCGGGACGACGTGCCCATGAGCACCGGTCCAAGCCCTGAAGAAGGCACATCCAGTGGGCTCCACTTTGTGCTGGAACCCGCGGCGACGTGGTATCGGGCGGCCGACTTGCCTGCGGCATTGCTCGAGGTAGCATGTCCCAAACCACCGACTGCATCCTGAATCCATGCCGTGGCATCGTAGGCGACCACGTCCGCACTGACGGACGAGAGTGTGCTAGCCATGGACCGCATCAAAGCCATCCTCGCGTCGGGGAAAGCCGCCGAGTGGACGGAGGCATATGGCAAGACGCGGCATCCCACGCAAAGCTCGACGAATGTGCTCCACTTGACCCAAGCGCTGTACCCTGGTCTCCAGCACCTCTTTGCGGTAGACAGCGTGGGGTTGGCAGCGTACTGACGCGGTCACAAACTAGATCGGCGGCCTCGACTTGCGCGCGCTCACGGACGTGCCGTCCATGTACGCGATGTATGCCGTGCTCCAATCGAGGACTGCCTACGCGCTTGGGATGGTCGACTTGGTTGGCTTTCAGCAGCTTTGCTTTGAAACGATCGAGGTAGCGCTGCGCCTGACCCAACGCGCGAAATGTTTACACACGTCGACCCCACCGTCAGCGACGGTCCCTGGAGCTAGCCCTCCAGCACCACCAACGGGTGGCGCGGCCGCCTTGATCCAATCCCCTCGTGACGAGCGACTCCAGCCAGATATGGTAGATCGCGGCAAGGAATAGCAACTAGGAACCGTTCCTCGGATCATCATGTGCCTGAATTCGCCGCTTTCGGGCTCGTACGCATCCCTGAGATGTAATATGGTGCACTTGGCCCGATGCACTTGTCGCTCTCGGCTGCACGACCGTCCACGGTCTGCAATACTGCTGCGCGGAGGTTGGCGTCGGCAAGTGCCCACTGATGTTGCCGGTGTGCTGCCCAAGCCGTTTGCGAGGAAGCGACGAGTCGAAGGCGGTGGTCGTCTGTCGACCGTAGTCGGTCGTGCCTCGGCTCGATTGAGTGACGGAAATGTGCCGCGCGTTTGGTTAGCGACGAGACTTGCCGAAGTTGCTGGACTTGTCTACCCAACGTGCCACAGTGAAATTGGAGCAGCGCATTATGGCCGAATGCGGCTGCCTACCGCGCCCGGAGGTATCTGGTAAAGTCGGCGACCTCGGGGCAATCGGCGCAAGTGTCTTCGTAGTTCTGAACATCTCGCGATACATAACGACGTTTTCTGCAGGGAAAGGGCGCACCACGTCTGCCGCAACCGCCGACTCCACTACGCTCCTTTCCACCGCATCGTGGGCGTATAGTTGATGAATGCGGCGCAAGGTATCGTCGACTTGGGTCGTGAGAAAAGTTAGTTTGGGCGAGCGTTCGACTGCAGACCGCGTTAGCACGACGTTTATCACAGGTCTTACAAAGCAATGCATCTGTCGTCGTGGCGTTGGATATGCTCTGAAGAGGGGGCGCCCCTCTGGTGCATGAGCTGGTCACGAGGTCCACGTCCGCCACTAGGTTGTCCAAGTCGAGGAGGTCACTGCTCCATCGATGAAACTTGACGCACTGTCTGACGCGACGGGACGGTACCTCCTCTCTCTTTGTCGCCGATGGATTCGGCTGATCGCACAAGCGACCTTGCGCATGACGCAATCGAAATCCTCCTTGGATCCGGCGAGCGTCGACGGCACCATCACACGGCGTCGTGTGCGATCCGGATATACGCAACCCTTCGATTCTTTATCCGGCACATTCGATATTTTTCGAAAAGGCATTTGGAAAGTTGCCGCGCGCGATGAGGTACGCGACGTCGTCGGTGGAAGTCCACGTCATGGAAAGTCTGTAGCGATGAAGCGATGGCATACATGGTGATGCCACATGAGGCGGAGTACATGGTCGAGAACGTAACGCCACTGCCGTTGGAAGCGATGGGGTCTGCGGACTTTATCCGTCTGCACAGTGACGTCGAGAAGCTCAACTTGCAGGCCCACCAAAGCGCGAAGCAAAAGGCCGACAACTTTGTCATCGAGTCTATTCTAACGTTCAAGAAGCTGCCAGTGCTCGTCCACAACATGCTCGTGAACGAACTGTGGAAAGAGCATGTGTTCCCCACCTTGGACGACGTGTCCGACGCGGCATCCATGCGCACGTACTTTGTGGTACTTCTGCCTACGCGGGATTTGGTCGTGATGGCGTTTTGCTTAGCTGTACCACGAAGCCGTGCTATGCAACCTGCTCGAAGTCGCATTCTACCACGAGCACGTCATCGAGAGCCTGGACGACGAAACGTTGATAGAAGTATTGGACTACTGCATGCGCAAAATCACGTGGCTGATTCGAACGCCGCGCGAGGTCATTCGCACCAAGACCACGTTTCACAAGTCGGGGCACGACATTGTCCGCGAACTCGACGCTGCTTCCCGCAAGGACGAGCTGCACCGACAGTGGTTGGAGATGGAGTTCCGCTTGTCGGTGCAATGCGTCGCAATTCTCCGGTACATGTGCGAGCGCGTGCACGTGCTGTCGCTCAACGTGTTGACCCGACTGCTGGACAAACACGATGCGCTCTTGTCGTTCGTGGCGCTGATCGAGAACCCGCCGTGGACGTACAAAACCCCCGACTCGAACCAGTGGAAAAAGTTTCAAGACCAAAAGTGGGCCGTCGTCGACCCGTGCGACTTGCTTCAAATCACCACGACCGAAGCGCAGCCGTGGATCGGAGTCTACTTTCTCGTGTGCTCCAAGGTCGCGCGGGACCAGTACCAGCTCACGTCGTTCCGGAAGAACCAAGTGCTGCGCATTCGAAAGTACCTGAACGACGTCATGCTCGACCAACTGCCACTCCTCGCCGACGTCCAGCGGTTTTTGGACGAGCTAGCGATTGTGCAACTCAACCCGAACGCTGTGTCCAGCGCCGCCAAGCTCGTGATGGAGGTCGTGCCCGTCATCCGCACCGCCCTCCTTCGCGAGTACCGCACTCGCTACGCACAGCTTGGTCTTGCGTACCAAGCCGCGTGTGCCCAGATCAATCGGAAGCACGACATGCAGGTGCTCGCCGACGTGTACAACATGCAAGGCATCGACGATTTGCTGGATGGTGGCGGCAGTCTGTCGGTGGACGCCGTGCTCGAACCGAGCAATCAAGACGTGGACAAGGAATACGTCGCCCAGGAAGCGCGGCGCCCAGTGTCGGTGGACGTCGTCATCTCGTCCGGCTCGCAAAAGATCGTCGACACAAACAACCACGCCGTGTGCTGTTTGACGTATGAAGTCGACATGACGTCGGAAAAGGCCATCGAGACCACAGACGGCACGTACGCCCGGTACTCGTTGCGCGCCGTGTCAAGCAAAGGGGGAGTGCCCGACGACGCCATCGTGGCGGTATCGAACCATGCTCGCATTCATGCCACGATTGGTTTCGCCGACGACGCCATGCCCCCGATTCAATTGCAAAACCCCGACGTCAACTTGCCGATGGCCAACGACGCAACCGCCAAGCCCGTGTGGCGCCAAGTAGGGATTCTCGACCAAGGCAACGGAGTCGTTCAAATCCAGTTCAAAATCGACCCTGCCACGGACGCCCATGTCATGGGCTCGCTCTTCCTCTCGCTTCCACGGATGCAAGCCGCGGCGTGACGATCCAAGGCGGCGAACTCGATTGCGTCTTCACATTGCGTAGAGTTGGCAGGACTAGTTGAAGTCGAACGTGACTGAGACTGCATATCGCATGCGCATCTGCCATAGCCACATCAACAAATGCATGCGCCCATCGAGTCTCTCAACATGCCGCCCACGTACTTGATCGGTGCGGTAGACCACGTATTCGTTGTATAGCAATGTGCCGTCGGCATCCGTCGGTTCGAGCATCCCCATCGGCATCTTCACGCCATCGTCCCTATCGACCACGCGTTGAGGGCGGCAAACACACGTCATCGTACGAAACAAAATGCGACGCTTTGGTCGGCGTCATGCGGCCAACACCCAGCACACTGTGGCACTGGAGCTGTTGCAGCGCCTCAAACGAGTACTCGTGTGCTTCAACGGCCTTGACGGACGTTCCAAGCGCCACTTCGGTCAAGATCAAGACCCCCTGCAAGACGACTTTGATTGCGTTGCAGGGTCGAGACAAAGGATCGGGCCTTGCCTTGGTTTGGTTGGTGCTAGCCCAGCAGTAGTTGGCAGCTTTCGACGCCACGTCGGCAAAATATACCTACACTCGACTGCGTCGTCATGGCCGCGATCTTCCAAACAAAGCGCACACGTACGCCTTTTCCAAACATGTACCCCGTCGACGGCGCTTCTGGCGGGGCAATGCGCAGCCCTTTGGTCAGAATACTCGCAATGTTGGAGAGACGGGAGCCGTGCCACAAGAGCTAAGCAAGCCATATCAACCCATCGCTACCTCATAACGACGACGGGCCGGCACAGCATGACGGCAGCTTGCCTGGTGGTTCTCCAACGACTCAAACAAGGTCGAGGGGGTGTCGGTAGCACGGCGGTTGCTGCCGCCTTCGTGTCTAGATGAGATGGACGGTGAAAAACAAAACGATGGCCGATGTCTCGATTCCCATGGCATTGTACTTGTCTCGATCGAGTGCGTGCACGGCATCGACGTGCAGCGTGTACTGGCGATGCGTCGGAGCATGCGTGAGCTTTATGTATCTACCGAGCGCACGATTGATACTAGGACAGGTGCAGCGATCACCATGTACTCTTGGATTCGAGCAAACTCGGGCGACATCGCGTCGATGGGGACTAATGTGACGCCGAGGGCTCTGTAATGGGCATCGACAGGGTTCGCATCGGTCGTGCGCTGCGTTTCGAGCATCTTGTGCGTGAGCTCAACGTCGGCCATGACCTACGAAACAGTCGACCACAGCCGTCCATTCGATCTCCAGTTGTACCTCCAATAGGTCCAGCTTGAGCTTGAGTTCGGACACCGAGTCGATCACGGGCGGCAGCGACATGCCAAAGTTGTGCGGAATGAGCTGCACGATCCATTGTGAGGAGGGGGTGGGGTAGAAAGAGTGGTTGGCATGTCGACCGTGTAAAATTCGCTCGTCAACGCCTTGAGTTTTGCTTTGCATTTGGCCACTTGGGACTTGACGGCCGATGCCGTGGCCGCCTTGGCCCGGGAAGACCGTCGGCGGGTTCCACTCGGCACGGTCGAAGCAGCAGCTTGGACGGTCGATGCCGCAGACGTCGTAGCCGACCTTTCCATGTCTGTGATGGCGTTCAGCGTGTCGGATATGGTGTGTAGGATGGCATATCCTTTGGCCAGCTGCCCCTTGGAGAGCTTGCCTACAGGAGCGTGAGTTGCCACGACCGTCGGGAGCAGGACGGCGGCTCAACCTAATGGCATCCGCTTCAGATCCAAATGCATCTCGGTCATTTCTTGCGCAATCAAGTCGACGTCGCAAATCATCTACCACGGGGTCTCGATTCGTTGAGCTTGTCATAGTAGCGGAGGCACCTTGACAAAGGTCTGGACGGACAAAGGCAAGGACGACGGAGGCACGGGGGAGCTTTTGTCGACCGTCGTGCTATCATCTTGGTCGGCATTGCAGTCGTCGTTGCCCGAGTAGTCGAGTTCTGCCACCAAGTTTGACTCAGTGCGGCATGGTGTTGTCGTTTGTGGCTGGCATACCGATCAAGGTGTATTTGCCCTTGACGGGAACAAACGGCTGCACGAGAGGCCACTCGTTCTCTGTTTTGAGGACGAACTTGGCGATGAACATCTCCTTCGCCGCGTCCTTTGTACAAGGTCCATGCAATTTGCGCTGCGTTTGCATGACTTGTGAGACGTTCGATCGCAGACCGTCAAGAGATGGGGGAATACCTGCGGTCTGACCGCGCCGACGCGACCCCATTTGAAGAAGACGTATGCGCGATGGCCGTCGCTGTTGTCGATGATGATTTGGAACGAGTAAAACTTGTTGTGCCTGCAACCACGTCAGCGACAACCAGAAACAGCGGATCGACAGCTTTCATACCCTTTGACGCCATACGACACGTCCGTCTGATTGAGCATTACTGACCACACAACGTCGCCTTCCTAGTCGCCGTGTTGAATCCGTCGTAACTTGGGTGTGGAATCTGGTGGCGTGATGCGGTACGTTCGTACCTGGAGCACTGTTCCCTTGTCTTCCATGCCCGAGAGGGAGTCCACGACGCCCTACACATTGTCCATGAAGTGTTCCGCCCATTGCCGAGCGATGTCAAAGCTTCACCTTGCCGCGGCGGATCAGTCGGCTCGTCATGCTACGTGAGTTCCGGTGTGGGGGAATTTGGCGCCGAGTTTTGCGGGTTTTGACATTTTCAAAAAATTTCCAATTCACCCACTTCGACAGGTGTCGTCAATTGCTGAAAAATTGGGAATTTGCCAACGAAAAAACAGAAATATTTGGCCAAAATATCACCCACCCTCACCCAGGGAATCGCGCGGGTAAAGCAGGCGCGTGGGTGGGGACCGCGCCGCCTCGTGGCGCAGGCGCGCACCCGAGAGCCTCTGCAGCGGTGAATGTACGTGTGTAGATTCATCGTGTTAAATAGAAGGTCGTCCGGGGCGAATTGGCGCTACGTGAGGTCGCTCTTCGCTTTGTCGTGCGGTGCCAGGGTCATCGGGCGGCGCTGGTTGCGTGTACCTAGCCAAGTCGACGACAAGCACAGTAACGTTGTCGGCCGTGTTTCGGCGCATGGCGAGCTTGCACAGGGCGGCGGCGGCAGCTTGGGCGCATGGGCAGCTCAACGCGACCTTGGCGGCTTTGTGGTTGGTGACGACATCCCACAGCCCGTCGGTGGCCAAAATCAAAAACTTGTCGGTGCGGCTGTCTAAAGCGTGCACCACAACGTCCGGCTCGGCCGTGAGAGGCGGCTTCATCGTGACGTCCCCCATCGCACGTGTCATGCTCAGGATGCCATCCACTCGAGGCACATCCACGATGCAGTTGAACGGCCAATGATGCAGCGCAAAGCTGGGAGGCTTCCTGCCGCACAATAGCCCCGTGACGTGGCCGCCATTCGCCTCGATGCGGGCGCGTTCGGTGGGGAGGTCGGGCTTGTGGTCTACATAGAAGGGGTCAGATGGACGGGATGGATAACGAGGGACCGGACCAGTCGTGAGTGGTGTCGCGGTGTATGCTCCAGATGAAGTGACGCGGCAGAGAACGGCGCGGGAGTCACCGACATTGACGATATATAGCTTGTGGTTCCGAATCATGGCCAGCACAAGAGTCGACCCGTCTTCAATGCCACAGAGGGGGTAGTTGGAGTTTCCCGAAGCTTTCCCAAAACGGAGCTGGGCACCGGACCGCTCGCAGAATTCTGCATCTACATACATGCGTCTAGATCGACGGTTCAAAAAGCTCGATCGTACCAAGAGCAAGGATGGATTGCCGAAGCACAGCAGGTAGCACCACATCATCGTTTGCGCCATGCTTTCTCGTCCGCCGACACGCGGCAAGATTCGCACGGATCTTCTGGAAGGCAAATTCTGCGCAATACCTGGACGCGCGGTCTCCTCCGTGGCCGTCAAATACACCAAAACACCCTTCGAATTCTTCGTCTGCGTCAGGTGTCGGCGCCGACGACGATGACTCAGTGAACCCGTTCAACGTCAACCTGTCCCCACGGAATGCCCCGATGTAGTACGCATCCTGTTGCATTCACCCCCATCATGAGATCCCTGTCATCTTTATCGCGAAGCCGTGCCTACCTCCTGGGACTGCTTCGGACCTTTCTCCGTCGCAATTCCGTACGGAAGCGTCGGCATCGTCTCTGTTGTCGGCACGTTTGGATGTGCCCATATGTACAAATGATCGACCTCCGGATAATTGGGACAGAATATCCGGATAGCGTATTTTTCACCAATTCTCGAGCGCTTGATCATGGACCGTGGCGACGTGCCGGGTGACGTGGTGCGGACGGAGGTTCTGTTCCGCACGCGACCTCCTACCAGCAATGCCGCTGCTGTGACGGCAGCGCCTGGATGGAGCAGTCCGTATCCAACACTGCTGCCGAGGCACGTTCTGGAGACGGATGTTTCGACGCCTCAAACCAACCGACTACGGCAGCAGAGCGTCGGCACTGCCACAACGCCAATCCAGTCTGCATCCAAAACCAACGTGCCCTCCAGTCGAGAAGACTTTCTTGCGCTGTATCAAAAGAGCCCGATGCCCAGAATCCTAGTTGCGAGGCAGCAACGGCAGCAAACTCCACCACCGCCAATGGCGACGTCAACTTCTGCAGCACCGTCCACAACACCGTCGACGCAAACCCCACGACGGAGATATATCTTTCGCTCGAATTTGACGGCAGCTGCATCGCCACGCGCCCCAACAACGCCTTCAACGACTTCACTTGTAACCCGAGACCAACGGTCAACCACCTCCATGCCACCAGCGATACCGCCCACCCATCTGCCCGATAAACCGCAGATCGATTCCGCTCCACCGCCCCAAGCTCCCGTGCCAACAGCCGCCCATCGACCACCGACGCCACTGCGCCACCTCGTCGTCGCTCCATCGAATTCGCACACTGCCCCATTGTCGACCATGCACTCTCCAGCAACTCAGACGAGCTTGTCGACCGTAACCAAGCTGACGGCGCGATTCAGTCCGTTCCATCGGTCAACATCCGCGGCTGCATCCACCCCTCCTGCAAAGGTTCGCCTCTCATTTGAGGACCCGCCGCCATCGTTTCCTGTTGCAAAACCCGCCGCGCAAACGGAAAACGTGGCCAATGATGCCACGATGGCCGTCGCTGCGCCCAAGCGAGATGCCAACGCGAAGGCTAACTCTATTGACACAAAGAATACAGCGGGCTCTCACCCAACGGACTCGACGTCAAAGATGGCCATCGCGCCGTCCAGCATGGTGGCCACGGCACCGCTTCGGAATGCACAGCCAACCATCGGACGAACGCAAGTGCGGGAATCGGTCTCGCCGCGCGCCCCCACGCCTCAGGAAACTCCACTACCAAAGAGAACGCTGTCCACCACATCCCCGCTGAACGCCGCGGTACTTCCGACAACACCATCGGTTGTGTGCTTCCAAGAAACATCACAGCAACCTCTCGACAATGCGGAGACAAAATCATCGACCCGATGGAATCGTACGGCACTCACCCCTGTCGATCCCCAGCGACGTAGTGGAGTGGCCGCGACGTCGCGCGCGCTGGTTCCCGCAAGCCCAACAAGCATGAAAACTGCTCGTGAAGAGCCTTCAAATCGTTCCATGTCAGAGCATGTTTGTGCGGCGGGACTCGGCGTCGATCGCTCTTTCGATCACGCCACGTCTTCGTTGAAAACGTCGACACCTGGCAAGTTAAAACCCGACTCGATGGCGGCAACTCCGTCGCGAGTGCTAGCAACGACGAAGCCACAATTGCCGTCGATGAAGAAGCGCGGGCCTGGCGCTGGAAGCGCAGTCTTGGTGAAGAAGCAGCGCCGCGTGCCGCCCACGGACGCTACCTCTGTCGGCGACGGCACAACACGTGATCCAGGTTCATCTCGCCGTCAACGTTGTCTGACGTGCGTCCTGCTTTGTAGAGGAATCGCCACGAAGCACGGCATGCGGTGGGGCGCCCCCACGGAAGCCTCGAGGCCGCAGCGCGCCAACTCGTTCGAGTCCCAAACTCTCGTCGACCCATCGCGCAAACGATGCACCGGTAGCACGTTGGACCAAGCGTACGAGTTCGGCAAAGGGACGTGCGATACCACCTACCTCGCACCCGGGAGACGAAAGCGGTCATGTGTCGTCGCAGGATGAAGCCGTAGCAGAGAGCGATGGCGCAAGACAGCACACCACAAAGCTCCTGGAGATGGCGACGAAAGCCCCGGTGACGTCGAGAGGGGCTGACAAGGCGTCCCGAAAACGCAGCCGCGATGCCACCGCCCGCCCTGGGGCTGCCGCGAAGAAGTCTACCACGACGTCGCTGGCCAAATTTCTCTCGTTCGACGATTCTGGTAGATATTTTCATTGTGCTGGATCGCCCGCTCGATCCGAACGGGATGAAGCGACGCTGTTGGATGTGATGGATGGGTAGAGGACGAAGACGAGCGTGCGACAAAGGAGCCGCTCGACGCGTCGGCGCTCAAGACGGATCGCCCCGTGCTGGCGCTGCGAAAATGGACGGTGGTATGGCCGCCGCCTTTGGACGGGCCCAGTGTAAAGTTGGTAAGTGGAGCGTGGCCCCATGGAGATGCGCATGTTTGAGTGTGGCAAGGTCGTGCATGGCGACGTCGGCGCGGGCACGTGGGAATCGCATGCGGTGGAGCGCATTCGGCGGCCACGGCTGTTTGTGTCGGACACTGGGCAACATGTATCGTTGGTCGGCGCGATGGCGCGTCCGCGGCAGTCCAGCCTGCCAGCAAAGGTTGCCGACCACTTTGAGCAAGGGATTCCGTCCGACTGGGTCAACATGTTTCATGCTGTCCTCGGCACGACCCCGCGCGTGATCAAGACAAAGCGATCCACTCGGGAAGCATCGATGGCCGCGACGGCTCGACCAGAGTCGGCGGCAGGCGGGTTTTCTCTGTTTCACATGTTTTGCCCCGAGAGCGACGGGGACGAGGTCGCACCGAGGTAGCGCCCGTTCGCCTCGATGGCTTCGACTTAGGTGGCCACAGGACAGCGTCCACGGAGGCGGTCGTGTCTGACGAAAGCAGCGCCAGTGACGTCGACCGGTAGCATCTCGCTTCGCTGTGGACAAAGTGCTGCATCGCATCACGATAGAGCCGCCGCCGCCGCCAAGCAGAGGAATCGCACGAACGCAGCGACGACCCTGCCGCGTAAACCAGCGTTGGTACGAATGAATGGCGGTGGCGTTTGTGACTGAGTGTTGTCGGGTTATCGTACAAGGCGAGCGCGGACGAGCCAGTGGATGCGTCGGTACGATGGCGGCATTCTCGTGGGGCCACGTTGGTGGGCTGACGCCAGTGCGTAGGCGTCCGATGCCGACGAATTGGCATCGCCATGGATGCCAACGCGGAAACCAACACCATCCAAGGTCGGCCAACGTCTGTCTTTGTGTGCTGAGATGGATATGTCGACACAGGGTCTGTCTCAAGACGCATCATGGAGCAAAGAGTCGTCCGCTGCAAAACGAGTAGGCGCCATGTGAATCCGCGAATATCCCTTCCAACGAGGGTTGTAGGCTCTGACAACTCGCAGCGGACGACGCACGTCGCCGGTAAAGGAATGGTGGAAAGCCGCCAAGGCGATACCTGCGGCGGCAACCTCCGAGTCCAAGTACGCGCTCGCCACCGCGATCGGTCGAAGCAGACACACTGATTTTGTTTTTCTTGTCGTGCAGGGGAGTCGCCGGCACGTCGGTCTGGTCCAAGCGTCAGCTGGCAAGCTTAAAGCACGCTGTCCGGGTCGTCGACCCCAAGCACCCCCAATACTGGCACAAGGTGCGTGCGCCGCCCCGTGGAAATGGAGAACATGGTTGAATGTGGACGGGTGCAGGTGGCGTCGTTGGTCGATGGCAAGTCGAGTGCCGAGTGCCAAGAAAAGCAATTTGAAAGCGTCGGCGCCATGAAACACAAGTCGACGTCGAAAGCGATTCCACCGACAAGACAACTCTCGAAACCGGGCACTCGGCGCTTCAAAAAGCAAGTGCGGCAGTTTGTCGCCGAGGTATTGCGTGGTTGGTCGATATGTGTTGAGCATATGCGGTGTAGTTTGAAGCTGGACATGCCGGCGACGACGATGTGTGCGATCTCAAGCGTCGGCCGCCGTCGGCCTCGACATCCCGGTTGACCACACCCAAGTCCATTCGAAAGTACAAGCGCCCGCCAGACCATTTCGACGACGACTTGTCGTCTGATGGCGCGGAGGCCGTGCTACTGCAGTCTGTCCCGCCAGCCCAACGGGACAAGCTCGACGCGTACAAGGACGGGCTCTTGAGCCAAACCCGATCGGGCAGGACAAAGCTGCTGCTGCCGCCATCGACACAAAAATCCACATGGGCGGCACACGACGACGACGTATGTGTGCATCGTCGGCTGCAGCATTTGACTGACTTGTAGATGTTTGAATCGTCGGACACTGTTCGGGAAACCATGCTTGCCCGCGGTGGCGCGCGGCGTCTCGAAGGCGTGCTCACGCCGCGTGGAAGCATGCGCGTCCGCGTCGTCAAGAAGCGCCACTCGGACGACTCGTCCGTTGAGGACAGCGCGTCGTCCGATGACAGCGAGGTCCTCGACGACGAGTGAATCGTACGTGTGCAGACTGTGGATGGATGGCGTTGAAAGGCTGTGGAGAATGAAATTGCAATCATTGTGCTGTCGTTTTCGTATCGGCCGTCCTGCTACGACCAAGCGAGCCGTGCAACAACGCAAACGAGCCGCCGTGCGGGTACGCGCGGGAGAGAGAGAGCTTCGTAGCGACCCGATGTCTTGCGTGTGCATGTGCGCAGTGGGCTGCGTTCGGCGTGTGGTGGATGGGCTGGCTACGTAGGTAGGGTCGCGCCGCCGCCGTGCCGGTTGGTTACATGCATAACCCCCAGAGCGATCATGGGCCACACGGCCGACGGCGCTAATTTTAGCCGTCGCCACGTGCGAAAGCAAAACCCCCAAACGTTCCGTCGAGGCGCGAGTGCTGCCCATCGGCGCGGGAGACATCGCAGCCGACGCTTACGATGGCGGACGCACCGTCGAAACCAACCGACACGGGGGCGACAATGAAGGGCGTGTTTGAAGCGCGCAAGAGCGTCGGCGCCGAAAACACGAACCGAATAGCAGAGCTCCTCGAGCAAGAGCTCAACGGCATGTCCGCCGACCAGATCGCCAAGATGGTCCAAAAGCAAAACCACGGGTTCGTCATCTCGCTCAACTCCAAGTTCAAACTGTGGTGGGACGTCGCGGTCGCGATCTTGACGCTGTACGTGGTGATTGTGACGCCGGTCCAAGTCGGATTTGGGCTCAAGGACTACAACACACTCGACAACATCCAGGTACGTCGTTGCCGTCGCTCGGCGCTCACGGCGATTGCGTCGCAGGTGTTTGTTGACGCCATGTTTATCGTCGAGCTCGTGCTCACGTTTCGGACGTCGTACATTGATTCAGCGACGCGGGAAGAGATCAACGACGCGTCCATGATTCGGCGGCACTACATGTACGGGTGGTTCATTCCGGACGCTGCGAGCAGCTACCCGGTGCGCGTCCATGATGGCGGATGCGGCGGCGTCGACTCACGTGTGCTTCATGACGATGCAGGTGTCGTGGTTTAGCGCGCACGACCAAAACAGCTCGGTGCAAGCGCTCAAGTTTTTGCGCATCCTCAAGATCTTTCGTGTGTTTCACTTGTCCAAGTCGCCGCTGTTTGCCAACTTGACGGCGTACGTGTCGCGCAAGATGAACCCGGCGATGCTGCGCATGCTCAAGCTGCTGCTCATCTTCCTCCTCTGCCAGCACTTTATCGCGTGCATGTATTACTTTGTCGTGTCGTACGAAGGCATTGGCGCCGATACGTGGGACGTCCCGTTCGACTTGGACGAAACCGGGCTCACGGAGAAATACGTCGGGTGCTTTTACTTTGCCATTATGGTCACGACCGCCAACGATTTGCAGCCGAAAACAACGCTCGAGCGCATTTTCACGGGGCTCATGCTGCTCCTCGGCATTGCAATCAATGCCACAATCATCGGGTCGGCGGCCAACTTGCTCGCCAACCTGGACAAGACCGAAGTCGCGCGAAAGGAACACTTGGACGCGATCAACGACTACCTGCGCTTCAAAAAGGTCGGGGTCATGCGGGGTCGTCCGATGCGGCGGCAATCATCGCGTCCTGTGTAGGTGCCGCTCGCCCTTCAGGACAAGATCCGGCACTACTACGATTACGTGTGGACCGTCCGGCCGAGCGAACAGTCGAGCAATTTGTTTGTCGATTTGCCGGATCGGCTCAAGCTCCAGCTGACGCTGTCCCTCCACCGCGACTTTATCAACAAGGTGCCGCTGTTCAAAGCGCTGTCGCCAGGCGGCACGATCGCGATCGTGCAGTGCATGGAAAGCGTCGTTGCCATGCCCAAGGACCTGATCATTCGCGAAGGCGAGCCGGTACCGATCTCTGCCCGTCGTCGTCCCTCGGGCGTCACTCGCGTGAGTAGGGCGAAGAGTTTTACTTTATCAATTCGGGGTCCGTCGAGGTCGACATTGCGGTCAAGAAGAACAAGGTGCAGCTCGGCGTGCTGGGCGCCGGGTCGTACTTCGGGGAGATCTCGCTCCTGACCAACGAGCCACGGTCGGCCAACGTCCGCGCGGCGCTCTTTTGCGAGCTCGAGATGATTCGCAAGGACGATTTCAACGCGATCATCCACAGCTTTCCCCAGTTCCACATTGCGCTCAAGAAGATCGCCGACTCGCGGCAGCAGACCGCGATCAACATGCAAAAGATGTCCAAGCTCATGAAGAAGGACGAGACCCCCGAGGCGACAGCCACCCCCGGCCTCGCGGCCATGATGCGCGTCATCGATTTGGCCATGCGGCGGAAATCGCCCAAGGTCAACGATGCCGACGCGGTCAAGAAAAAACCCGCCATGCTCTTCGACTCGGTGCTCGACGACGACTTTATCCTCAATATGTCCCAAGCCAAAGCCCGCAACATCACGCGCATGAAGCGCATCAGTGCAGACATGTTTTCAAGGCTCGACGATCCCGAGTAGCACCGAAGCAGGCGCCATGTCGTCGCCGCCGTGTAGATGGGAAGCGATTATTATTTTAACAAGCAGTGCGATCAATTCAACGTGTTCGGTTGCGCCACACGATGTCGACGCTAAAAGTCGTCGTCGTCGGCGGCGGCGGCGTCTCGATTTGGTGACGGACCGTCGGGGTCCATGCTACGCAAGGTCGTGAGGTGCGGCATCCAACGAGCGAAAGACATGGGTGCGTCCTGCAGTTGCAGCAGCAGCACCAAAGCGTCATGCAGATCGATGCGTACCTGAAAATGTCGACGGTGACGCCGTCCATGGCGAGTTTGTGGCGAATCACGGCTTCCGGCATGCCGAGTTTTTGCATTTTGAAGTACTTTTCAAACATGGGGTCGTCCTTGAGCTTTACAAAGGTCGGTGGGGCCGCTGCAGGGGGAGCAGCTGGAGAGACGGCTGGGTCGGTGGTTGGAGGCGGTGGCGGCATGTCGGTTCTCGGGTCCGGGACAGGTAGAACGGGCGGGAGGCCTGTGGAAGGAGGAGGAGGAGGTGGTGGCGGTTGACTTGATCCTTCCGGGGCGACAGGTACAAGCGTTAACGCTGTCGAGTGCTCGTCGGATGGCGGCACGTCGGACGCCGAGACAACCAGACTCGTAGCGGACGGAGACGGGCCCTCTGGGTCCATGCTACAGAGCATTCGTTTGCGAGTGAAGGAGAGCGAATGTCGTGGGCAGAGACGCCGCAGCGCGTACCTCAAGATATCGGGATCCAATCCATCCATGAGCATCTTTTGACGGATGGCTCCCATGGGCATTCGCAGTCGCTGCATGGTAAAGTACGTTGCGTACATGGGATCGTCTTTGAGCTTGAGCAGTGAAACTTCAGGGGCTGCAGGTGGAGATGGTGGCGGCGGTGGTGGACTGTCCAACGAACTAGATGGAGGTGGTGGAGGTGGCGGGGGTGGGCTGCCGGAAATGGACGTTGCGTCCGGAGCAGGTCCAGGGGGAGGTGGCGGTGGAGGCGCTGGGGCGGCATCTGTCGCAATACACGAGGTGAACGGACGTGGTTGCGTCTGCTGGTCGTGTACCTGTTGGAGGCAAGTTGAGATCACGTGGGAGATCGGCTGGGGTCGTCGAGATCGCCAAGTCGGGAATGCTGTTGAGCTTGGCTTCCAAAATCGCGAGTGAGATCTCGAGCCTTGTGAGGTTCTTGGACGTCGTGGCGAGTCGTTCTTCGCAGAGACTGGAAAAGTGGTTGATGAAGCGCACCGTGTTGGTGCAGAAGTTGGTCAGTAACAGCAGCGACTTTTGAAGAGGAATCGACGGCAGCTGCATCAAGTCGACTGGGAGCTCTTCTTGTGGGGGGGAGCCCCTTGACACGACCAGAGCGGTCTCCGCCACTGGCGGCGGCGCTTCCAGCAACGACATGCCTCTCTCGTGTGAGAGCCGCAGTCTCTCTCTGGAACAAGCCAAATTATCCGGCCTGGGACAGATTATCCGGATGTGACAGTGTGCGCGGCGGCGCCGCGATAGACGGTGCCTGACGAAAACGAGGTCTGGATAGTTCCAAGCGCTGACGACGCTTGCGAGCAGCATCGCCAGGATACGCTTGGAAGGCAAACGATGATTGTATATGTTAGGAAGTTTACTGCATGTCCTGAAGGACGGCATGGACTTTGTCGGGGAAGTGGTCGTCCAGCATCGTTCTGGCTACGTAAATCTGCAAGAAGTCCGTTTGATGCGCCCACACGTAATCGTAATGCGTGCGCTCGGTACAGCATATGCCGGCGCCTGGTCGACAGCACATGCAGAACCCCCGCTTGCGCGACCGAACGAGCCGCTTCAAATGCACGATTCGCCCCGGCATCCACATCTGGACGCGACATTTTAGCCCCACGTTCGACCGTCCATCAAGTTCGTACCTCATGAATGGGCTCTCTCGCTTGAATCCGCTGCAGCATCGTCCTAGTCGCAGCGCCATCCATCAAAACAACGGTCCGTCGTGAACGCATCCACGCACCTGTAGTTGAGCAGTTGCGACGTAAACGCCGTGTGGCCCGCTTCGTCCTCGGACGCATGCAGAAGCTCGTCCGGGTGGCGCCACGACAGTGCTTGGCGCATGATGTGCGTCTTGCTGACCTTGCTGCGGCCGATGAGACTCAGCACTTGGTCTCGTAGCGACTGGAACGAGAGCAACGAGGCACGTGCAATGATGTCCTTGCCAAGGACCACCGACGTGACGAAGGATGCGGTCGAGAGCGCGAGGTCCGGAGAAAGCAGGCAGCCTGGCGGGGACAGAGCGAGGCATTTCAACGCGGGGTACGTCGGTCGGAGCATGATGGAGAGCAGCACGGCCGCGCCAGCACCAAGCGAATGGCCCGTGACCGTCAGTCCGTAGTCGGCGTACGTGCCAGGGGCGCACGCATTGACGACGGGTGACGGCGTGAACCCGGACAAGGTCGGGTCGAACAGCATCGGGAGCACTTGGAGATGCGCGATTTCGTCCATGAGCCACATCGCGCATTGCAACATGCCCTGTCACGCGTCCATCACGCAAGACCAACGACACGATCGCTTCGTACCTGGTGGGCGAACGCGCCGGTGCCGTCGCATTTGTACTTGCTGGCCATCTCATTCAACGACACACCGTACGCAATGGCGTCCGTGAGGCAGTCTTCGAGCGAGAGAGTGCCGCGGACAGCCACCACGACTTGGCGCTTTTCGTGGTCCAGGACGATGCAGAACGCGGGCTTGCACACGGCGTTGCTGAAGCTGGCGTACACAATATCGGACGTAGCGACGCCCGTCTCGAGCTCGAGCGCGATTTGGTGCCAATGAACGCAGTTGTCGCCGTGAATGTACCGCCGACGGCGCGTGGTGAGGCAGCGAAGCACGAGCTGCGGCCCGCTTGTCCACGGATGCGACCATACGTACAACATCCAGCCGTAGATCCCGACCGCGTACTTGGAAACGTGCGCCAGGTCCGAGATCGCCGACACGAGCGCGGCGTCCTTGGGCGCGTCGAGGTTTTCCGGGAAGGTCGGGACGACGCCGACTTCGCGGAGGACGCCCGGCGCGTGGTCGGCAGCGTTTTTCTCGTGGTATTGAACCGCGCCAAGCAGGACAAAGCCAGCGATGATGTCGGAAAAGACCAAGTCGGGCGACCCGTAAAAGAACCGAGCAAACACGGACGCGACCACCGACATGGCGTCGGTTTGCGTGCCACCGCCGCCAAACAAGCTGCACGTGAAGCACCGGATGCACGCGCAGCAGCGATGGCACTGGCGCTCCCAGTGTTCTTGGTGCGGGATGTACAGGTCGCTGTTGGGCAGGGTCGGGTCCGAGATGCCTACGGCGCGGTGAGCGGCGTCGCGACGATCGTCGAGTGTACCGAAGAGAAGCGTGTGGTGCTCGGGGTCAACGTCCGCGTGGCCATCACACGAATGCCGCCGTTGGTGGACTGGAGTGCCGCCGATGACGAGGCAGGCGAAGAGCACCATGCCCACAACGTTTGCGAGGTAGTTCACGGCCACGACCTGGAAACGCAATCAGTACGAAGTCGTCGTCGTCGGCAACGACGCGAGATAGTTGCGTTACCAGCACAAAGTTGGCGTCGGGGAAGCAGATCACGTCCATGGCGTACAAGACGACACCGGCGATGCCGGCGCAGAACATCCCGACAGCCCAAGCAAAGTGCACGACGACCAAGGGCTTCATGAGGATTCGGCTCTCGTGGCTGACGATCGTGCCTTGACATGACACGTGCAGCTCGAGCACGTTCATGACCATCAAGAACGCCATGCCGGGGATCGACAAGAGCATGTACCAGAACGCAAGTCCCGACACGTTGTGGATCTGCATGGTCGAACAAGAGCGATACGTGGACACGTACAGCACGCACACGACGACAAATGGGACCTGGAACACGAACTGGAGAAGGGCGGGACAGAAAAAGTCGTCGCTGCCAACGCGGCTGCGCCGCCCAAAGAGCACCAGCGCCGGCATCTGCTGCCTCTTGCCGCACGGCGAATGTTCGTGGTTGTATTTATTTTATTGGATACAATTATCAAGGTTGTTTGGCATGGAAGAATTTTATTTTTAGCAGTCCACCCCACGGCAGGTTGAAACCGTTGACAAAACTTGAACGACCGGCCAGCATCATGGCCACGTGCTCGAGCGTCATGCGGAATGGCGCGCGATGTACGTCCCCGGTCCCGACGGACGACCCGTCCGCCACCATGTGCGCGCATCACCAGCGCATGGCCCGCGTGATGGCGCTTGCCCCGAAGAAACCTCCATCTGTGGACCGGGCTCCATCGACGACGTTCGGGCTACCTCCTGCCCCCCACGCCAACCCACTGTTTCAAACGACGACGTCCGTGGTGCATGTCCGTCCTTCCGCCGTAGGTCATACTGCGGTACCGCTTCCGATTCACGTCCCGACCGAGTCCTTCTCGGACTACTTGAAAGTGTCGTTCCCTGGCGAAGTGAAAGCAGCGTCGTTGCCATGTTCCTTTGACGTGTCGTCGCGCGAAGGCGTGTCTGGTACGCTCATTGTGACAAACTACCGCCTTCGCTTCGAGCCGGCCTCGACCCACCGATCGGCCACGTTTTCTCCGGCATTGCTGGAAGCCATCACCCCTGGCTTGCCCACCGCCTGCGTGTCCAAGCTCGCGTACCCACAGACCACGTCATCGTCCAACGCCATGCCAACGCAAATAGTCGTGTTCTTTCGCAACTGCCGCACTTGGATCTTGCGCGGCAACGTGACCGAGCTCATGACGACGCTGAACAAACTAGTCTTTGTCGAGTCGCCGCTGCACCTGTTTGCGTTCGCCAAGGGAAACGTCGTCGATGGCGACCATGCCAACGGTGCCGTCGCGTTTCCTTGGCGATCGATCTCATGCCGCGCGCGCCGTAGGCCATGCTATCTACGACCTTTTCTCCGATTTCGCCGACATGGGGGTCCATCTTGCGACCACCGCGCCGCACACGTCGCCGTATCGAGTCACCGACGCCAATCGATCGTACGGTCTGTGCCCGACGTACCCGCCCCAGTTCGTCGTCCCGTCCGCGATGACAGATGCCCAAGTGGCGGCGGTCGCGAGCTTTCGGTCGAAAGGGCGCATGCCACTGTGTTGCTGGGTCCATGCGGCCAACACAGCCAGCATCTGGCGATGTGCGCAGCCAAAGCGCGGCCTCTTCCATGCCCAGAACGCTGACGACGACTACATGCTGTGGCTCATTGCCCAAACCAACAAGATCAACAGCGAGAAAGTGTGGATCGTCGACTGCCGCCCCGAACTCAACGCCCGTGCCAACAACGTACAGCCTTGTCGTGTAAGTACGGTGAAACAACGTGGACCTACGTAGCTGACGGGCGGCGGCACCGAGAGCGGAAGCCTTCGCCATGCCACGGTCTCGTTCATGAACATTGCCAACATCCACGCGATGCGCGAGTCGCTCGAGGCGGTGCGACAATTGGCGCTGACGCCGTCGATGGAAGCGGACCTGCACTGGTTGTCGCGCGTCGAGGTAGGTTGTATGCTTGTCCATGACGCGCGTCAATCGGCGTAGGACACTAAATGGTTGATGCACGTGCGGCTGGTGCTGCGCGCGGCATTGCAAACCGCGCATGCTGTCCACGAAAGCGCCACGTCGGTCGTTGTCCACTGCAGCGACGGGTGGGACCGCACCGCCCAAGTGTGCGCTCTGTCGCAACTCTTGCTCGACCCCAAGTACCGCACGTTGAAAGGATTCATGACGCTCATTGACAAGGTAGGCCGGCGTGCCAAACCGCGGCGCACACCTGACGCAGCATCTGTCGCAGGAGTGGATCAAGGCCGGTCACAAGTTTGACGACCGCGTCGGCCCGGGCAAGGTCGAGAGTACGTTTATGCCACTGCTCGACGTCACATTGTCGAGTGTCGTCTCGATCGACTCTGGAACTTTGTGTCTAGATGACGACCAAGCGCCGATATTCATCCAATTTCTCGACTGCGTGTGGCAGCTGCATCGACAGTACCCGACGTACTTCGAGTTCACCGGGCTCGCGTTGCTCGCGCTTGCGTTTCACTCGACGTCGGGTCGGTTTGGCACGTTTCTCGGCAACTGCGACCGCGACCGCGCCGTCAGCCTCCGCGTCCCGGTCCGCACGCCGTCGTTGTGGGCGTTCATGTTGGACCATGCCGCGCAATTTCGAAATCCATTTTTTCGACCGTACGACGCGCACGACCACGGCGGCGGCGCGCTGGTCCCGTGGCCCGTCGCGATCGTGTTGCGGCGCGTGGTGCTTTGGGACGACATGTACTTTGCCAATCCGTCGTGCGGCAATACGTCCAAGCCCCCGGCGATGGCTGCGGCATCGTTCCGCCAGGCCAAGACGGCGGCAGAAGACTTGGAGATGGCCATGGCAAGTGCTCAGCATCAAGCGGCGGCGCACCTGTCGTAGCCCACCGCGTGTCCATGGCATGATGGCTAGGGCTGGATATCATTGGCACCACCGTCGCTGTGCCCAGTACCTCTAGAAGCGATGGTGTCCATGGCGTTTGAATAAACGGGCGACGTGGTAACGGAGCCGATCGATCATGATATCGTGAGTACCCATGCAAAAAAGAAAACGGCACAGCGCTTAAATAATGGCAGGTCGATCACGGAGACGCGGTGGAGGCACGCGATGGCTTGCGTCGACCCTGGTCCGCATTGCGCACAAAGTGGCGGCAGACAGCGGCCAAGTGGGATGCATTTGCTCGAGTCGCGCCATCCATCACGTCGTCAATGTTGGTCGTATCGAGCAATCGCTCGAGATCTCGTTCGCAGAGTTGCTTGAGGTGGTCCAGCATGTACTGGTCGGCCGCGACGAGGAGGTCGAGGAGGTCGTCCCATCCGAGCTCCCCCGACACGAGATGCCCAGAGTACACATATTTCATCATGACCTGAAACACGGTGCGCGACACATGCGGAATGACGATGGCATCGTTCGTCGCCTCGCGGAACCCGGTCGAGAACATTGCGCGAAACGCTGGGCTCGCCATCGACAGCACCAGCTTGTGCCCGTACACGACGTAGCCCTCCACGACCTACGCAACCCTTTGCTTCAGCCCACAACATGACTCGATGCCTTCGCATCGCCGAGCACAGCCGACAACACAATTATTCACCCAGACAACATCATCATCCATCGCAGTCACGCTGCAACTCACGTACGAACGAGACGTCGGCTAGAGTGGCCGAGTTGGCGTACGACTGCAGCGCAAGATTAAAGTTGACGGGGGGTGCCAATGGCACGGTCGCGTGTGGCAGCGGGTCCGTGTCGAGGATGTGCATGTCGTTGAGGTATTCGTTGTGATGGCTTCCTCCAAAAATGAACAGTCGGCGGCCGAC